ATCCCCTGAGTTTCAGCATCAAAAACTGCAAAGTGAGCAGAGATGATTTCTGTGTGTTCTCGTGTTCCTAGCAATCTCTGGCTGTTTTTCTCTCAATACCTTTGGATCCTGTGCACCAACATTGGGATGGCACAGTAGATCAGCATTCCTGCCAATCACCTTAGGAACTGGGAGGATTTGGGGATCTGAGTAGAAAAAGACAGATAGGAGGAAGGAAATCATTTCTCCCTTCTTCATTTTGTTGACTTGTTATTTTAACTTCCGCTTCTCATGTAAGACCTTGCATGCGTCAAACTTTGTTAAGCTCAGCAGAATCACTTCCAAATGTCTGAGCTTCCATTTACAAAAAAAAAAATGTAGAGTGTTCTTATATTCAGTAATAATTGGGAATTTACTGGGAGTGACATTGCTCATCTATGGAGCATAATTCCATTTGAGTTCTCATTTTAAAAACTGTATTCAAAATTAACAGCTCAGTGTTAGTCAAGCTAAGCAGATCATGAAGCTGTATTTTGAAATGATATATTAAAATTATATTAAATGGTATATTTTGTTTTAGTATATAAAACCAACTTTGTACTGATTAAAAGGTAGAAAATTTTTTAAATTGGGAATTTAAAAACAAAACAGAAATTAGAAGAGACAGTATAGGGTTTAAGGAAGCCATCTGGGTAAAAATGAAAAGGCTAAGAACTAAAATTTTAAAAGTAATTGAAAATGAAAAAATTAACCTGAGAAGTAATCATTCTCCTGGTCATGGTGGTGCATGCCTTGTAATCTCAATATTTGGTAGATGGAAGCAAAAGATCTCCAGTGTGAGGCCAGCCTGGGCTTTATGATCAGGCTTCATCTCGGAAAAACCAAAAGAAAAGAAATGACCACTCACCCATATGGTAAACCCCGTGGAAAAGGCATTTGTAAACCTATGGTGGCATTACCACCCCCCAGTTTAGGGCCACTGTAAGAATTACAACGTAAGATAAAATATGCCACCTCACAGCGCACATCAAAAAAGACTCAACCACACACTCAAACAGGCATATGCACGTGTGGGTGTGCACACGTGCAAGGAAGAGACTGAAGAATCTTCAAGGGATTATAAAAAAATATTTCAGATAGAATGCATTGATCTTAGCCTTGAAGAGTAAG